CGTAGGACTCCTTCGACTCGAAGGACGGTGTCGTCTACGAAGGTCCACATCTGGGCTAGCTCAGCCTGAGCTTGGGCTTGCCGTAGAATAGGAAGTAATATGAGTCGCGCCAAGGTCGTGCCATGGGGGGAGCCTGCGATGATGCCTTTGGAGGCGAAGATAGGCATACTCACCCATTGTCGGCTGCGCAAGAATCTGGGCGCGAGGTATAGCTGTACCTCCAGAAGAAGAACGATAGGTGGGAAGCCGCAGTTGAGGCCGACCATGATGAGGTTGGCGAGCTTGATATTGTCGTAGAACTTCTGGATGTCCAAAAGCAATGTGGCAGACTGTATGCCAAGTGCTGAGGCTGTCTCGTCTAACAAGGCCCTGTGCAGGGCGGCCTGGAGAGCTGAGGAGCCTTTGATGGCTGTAGTCCAAAAGTCATCGAGTCCTTGGGTCCAGGAAGTAGATGCTGTCGATCTGATGCGAGACCAGGGTCTGGCCATGTGAGGTAGCATGCCGAGGACCCTGTCGCCTCCAGACTTCTTGGCTGCTAGGGCTGCAATAGTGCCTGAGATTTGTAGTGGCCAAATGCCTGCCTGCTCTACTGCGTTGAGGATATCCGCATAGGCTTCGACTGCTGGTTCTGGTAGTCGATGGAGGTCGCGAGGTCCAAGTGCGTCCACTCCATGAGCTTTACTGGGTGGCATGCGGCCATGAAAGCGATGTACGATCTCGGCTGTGATGGTCTCGAGCGGTTGGTGTGCGGCTGCTGCCTTGGCCTTTGAAAGCGCCTGTAGGATGTCGTCAGGGGTCTCTGTGGCCTGCCATACTTGTTGCCATTTCTGCTTCTTGCTGTCCATGATAACGGTGGGACCGGCGATGGTGAGGTTGGTCGTGTAGGCCTCGATGTGACGCACGGGCGCTGGCTTGACATGGGCGTGTAGTACTCCAGGGCGGTGTTTCCATTGCTTGGCGAGCCAGGCGCCGTAGGCCCTCTTGGACTTAGCGAGGGCGGCGGATAACGCTCTGGAGGCCCAAGTAGCAGTAATGGTGACCAAGTCGTCGGTGTCCTCGTTGTCCAAGTGCGGGGCCCAGACGAGTGCAAACCAGCGGAAGATGGTGTCCTCGTCCTTCTCGAACTGGAGGTCGTGAAAGTGAGCGCTGAAGTGGTCCGCGCGCTGCTGGATGATGGAGGCCTGCTGCTGCATGAGCGCTGTGTGCTTGGGCTTGTTGTGAAGTGCAGCGTAGCGCTTGATGAGGGTGAGCGTGATTGCCCACCATTCTGACTGAGGGTCGTGTACGTGAACGCGTCCTGGGGCGGCGGCCGTCTTCTTCCAGGACAATTGGTAGCCTTGGGCACGGCCTGTGAAGGCTGCGGCTCCCTTGGGGTCGATCTGGTGGTGGCTGATCATGGTGTTCTCGAGCGCCGTGACCCATTTGGCGTACTTGAGGTTGAGGTCGTCGGCGTCGTGCGCCCAGTGAGTGTACACGAAGTGCGCGTGGGGCTGCTTTCAACGTGAGGGTACTGCTTGCTGCCATTGCTCCCCCCAGAGGTCGGTCGGGATAGCGTAAGGTATAGGCTCCTGTGCTGCGGGGTCGTCTTGAGGCTGGAGTTGTGCTGCTGCTTGTTGGAGTTCAGGAGGTAGTTCGCGTAGTCGTGCTGCACGAGCTTCTGCTGTTTTGCGTCTCTTGATGGCGGACTTGCTGTTGGGGTCAGGTGGGATCCTGGGTCTGTCCACTGTGGGGAATGCTCTGGGGGTATGGATCGACTGATACCACCAGGGGTCTGCACTGCCTGCTCGAACCTCAAGGCCCACGTGGGTGGCCCAGGGGACGGTGGGGCACTGGCGAATGGAGATCGTGTGCTCGATGCCAGTCTTGACCAATGCGAAGTCGAGCGTGAGCCCCTGGCCCTTGTCGCACGTGGCAGAACCAGGCGCTCGCACGATGGTAGCATTCCATTTGGCGGGCCACTCTGTCGCTGCGAGCTGCTCAGGAGTCATATTCCAATCGGCCAGGATGATCCAAGGGTCAGTGAGCATAGTAACGAAGGCCCCCAGCGAGAGTAGCTTATCGTGCACTGCTCCCTCGATCTGCCTGTGGGGTTCCAGGTATGCTGCAATAACGACCAGGTTGCCCGAGCGTCTGTGCCATACCATGGGCGTGAAGCCTCGGAACGGGTCGGGCCTGCGCTGGGAGATGGCCAGGTCGCGGAGGTGGTTGAAGGTTGTGGCCTGGACGTGGTACCTGGAGAGGATAATCTCGCCGCCCGTGTTGCCTCCGTCAGATCTGCTGGTCGGCGTGGCTGTAGTCGATGATATCCTCCAACCATCTGCTGCTAGCTTGTCGTAGATGAGAGGGGCCTTACCGTGCGAGATGTGTGTTTCAACCAATGCCACCATCTGATATTGTTTGCCTGGTCCTGCCAACCATTCCTCCGACTGTGGCCCCCACTGGGTGATGTTGGAGAAGAAAAGGGAGTAATCTGACGGCTTGGGGTCGGGTCTCGCGCTGCTGGGCTTCCAAGGGCCTTCCACAGCGGTCGAGTCGATGGCTTCTGCCATCTCATCGCCCCCTACCAAGGACTGCGTCTTGGGCGGGGCGGCATCAGGGTGTGCCATTGGCACCTGATCCCCTGGTTCCCGTACCAACTGCTTGTCGACAGCTTGGGCCGTCTCATCACTCCCTACCGAGGACAGCGTCTCGGGCGGAGCGGCATCAGGGTCGGCACGCGCGGCGCGCTGCGGCCGCCCTGGGTCCCATAATACTGCGTCGACGGACTGCGCCGCCTCATCGCCCCCGGCCGAGGACAGCGTCTCGGGCGGGGCGGTAGCAAACTGAACTGTGGCTGCGAAATCGATGTGGGCGTCCAACTCGGCCAGCTCGTCGAACGGGTCGAGGACTGCGTCCATTGTGTTGATGATCGGTGGGTTGTCGTATTTCTTGGTCTCTGACGGTAGGCGTCCCGTCTCACCATACCGTCCAGGGTCGGGTAGTAGTCGGCTAAAGAGGCTGCTGCGCTCCAGTCGCGGCAGTCGCGGTGGGCTTGCGCATCTGGCTGAGCATCTTCTGTGCCTTGTCTTCGAGGTCGGGGTCCTTGTTGATCGCTGGTACAGGCTGTGCAGCGACGCTGCCGTCAGAAGTAGCGCCAGCAGCAGGTGCGGTAGGCTCGTCGCCTGGCGCCGCTGTCGATGAGGCCGCAGAGCCATCAACGTCCGCTGCGGCTGCCGCTGGGGGTTCGCCTGCTGGCGCCGGGGCGGCGGGCGGAGATCCACCTCCCTCTCGGGCGTGACCGTCCTCGTCGGCCCGCTGACGCTTGGCGGCGAAGCGGGTGCGCATGGTGCTGGCCTCTGTGCGGAGCTGGCTGATGCGGCTGGCGGTGTTGCCGAAGAGCTCGGTGACCTTGGCCTTGAGCTCAGTGGCGAAGCGCTGCTGAAGGGATTCCCATGCCTGGCGATCGCTGTCGTCGATGTCGAGGCCTTGGAGATCGAACGCCGAACCCGCTTCGATGGATATGTCACCGTCCTCGAGCAGGCTGGTGAGGTTGAACGTCGGGTTCTGCTGCGAGGCCGTGGGAGTAGCCGTGCCGCCCTTGCGGGCGACTTGAAGGGCATCGAGAGCGGCCTGGGCCTCGGCCTGGGCTTCTGCCAACTTGTAGGCGGCCTCCTCCGATGCCGCCTTGCGCTCGGTGTACCAGCTGAGCGCCTTTTGCTCACTCTCGAGCAGCCTCTCCAGGTTGTTCTTGCAGCGGCGCTCCGTGGCCTGGGCGCGGCTGTAGATGTCGTTGAGGTCGGCTGGCTTCTGCGGCTGGGGCGGCGGGATCTGCGACTTGATACCGTCGATGGCAGCCTTGTCGATGTGGGGGGCGATCGCCTGGAGCTCCGCAAGGATGTCCTCTGCGGAGCGCACCTTGGGGGTGTCGTTCTTGTTGGCCCACCAGTCGTCCTCTTGGTTCTTGCCATTGCCGTTGCCTCGGCGGCGGCGGGACTTGGGCCAGGACGACCACGGTTCCCATCCCGTCTCTGGGCTGGGCTGCTGGATACAGCTGGAGTCGGCCTGGGCTGCGGCCTTGGCGCGGGCCGCCCAGGCGCCTTGAACTGGAGGCGGGGAGTCTGTCCACGGCGCCAAGGCTTTGCTGCACCAGTAGCACGTCTGGTTGGTCTTGTAGTTCCAGGAGTACGAGCAGGAGTAGCACTTGACATAGGCGCTGCGCTGCTGCGGGGGCGCCATGGACGAGAGAGACTGAGGAAGCTCACCTGCGGGCTGCAGGAGGCACACGGAGAGCTGAACAAAGCTGTCGGGCTCAAGAGCCCTGGCACTGGCCGCGGACTAGCGGTATCCACTTGTTCCCCTGTGGAACTAGGCATCTTGAGCCAAAATGGCTACGGAGGAGGAGGAGGAGGAGGAGGAGGAGGAGGAGGACGCAGGCGGCGACGTCCGAAGCCTACAGGTCGGGGCGCTGACCCAAGGAGCCCTAAATAAGGAACGGGGCCCCTTCTGTCCACAAGTGGAACTTCGATGACCCGTCGAAAACGAAAGGACAACTCGAGGCAAGCTGCGAAACAATCAGGGAGCACCGAGCCCCTCCCCAACGAAAAGGGTTCCTTCTGCAGCGCCCCGACTGTACCGCCACCAACCATCGATTCTCCTGAGTCGATGGCGGGCGGGGGTAAGGTTCCGATGCCGCCACGTGCTCGACGAGGTCCGAACCTTATATCCCCGCCACCGAACGAATGGCCCGATGTGTTGACCGCTGGCGGCAGGGTGCGGATGTCGCCGCCGCCGACGCCGCCCGCCGAGCGACCACCGCGAGAGCAGAGATACGGATATGTCCGATGCTCGTGCCCCGACGACGACGACGACGACGACGACGACGACAAACGGCCGTTGACCAAGACGACGACGACGACGACGACGACGACGACGACGACGACGACGACGACCGACAACGACCGACGACCGACGACCGACGACCGACGACCGACGACCGACGACTGCGGACCGCTCCCGCGCAGAGCGCTGCGGCGTCTCGCGCGCCGACCACCTCGGCGCCTCGCGCGGCGAGCGCCGCGGCGGCGGCTCGCGCGCCGAGCGCGCCGAGGCGGCGGCGCCCCGGGCGCTGGGCCGCGGCGCCTCGCGGGCCGAGCATCGCGGCGTCTGGTGCACGGATCCTGCGCGCGGGCGGCGGCGGCTGCGAAGGGGGGGGGGCAAAGACAGCGAGGGCAGCCGCCAGGACGACGGCGAGGAGGAGGAGGCGGAGGAGGAGGAGGAGGAGGAGGAGGAGGAGGAGGAGGAGGAGAAAGAGGAGGAGGAGGAGGAGGAGGAAGAGGAGAAGGCGGAGGAGGAGGAGTGGGTACGGTGCGGGCGCGGCCGCTCAGAAGAAAATCCTCGCAAAAAAACCCGACCCTGAGCACACGCACGCGAGGGGCACCCGAGGGGAAGCCCCCGGAGCACCCTGAGCGCAGCAGCGCCTTCCACGGCTGCGGGAAGCCACCGCGCAGCGCGCGCAGCGCGCGCAGCGCGCGCAGCGCGCGCAGCGAGGAAACCCAGGATACCCTGACGAAAAGCGCACGGTTTCTTGATGCGCGCCCCCACCGTAATCGACAAGTGCGTTCCGAACACTCGCAAAGCAACTACTCGCAAATGGCCTGGATCCCCCGCGGGGGATCGACGATAAATCACATCAAAACAGACATGTGCTTAGCTACCCCGATACGCAACACGCAACACGTAGCGTATTGATACGGAGCTCAACACGTAGGCTGAAAACGTAGGTCCGACGCGATACACTCGCCAAAACGTGGTCCAATACGTGGAGCAACACGCAGCGTATTGACACGGACGTCTTCAACACGGGACGTATTGCGCATCCAAGCGGGCGTATCGAGGCAACCAAGGACATGTGTCTTTGTTCGGACGTCTGCGAGGAGGCACGCTGCGAGTAGTGGAACGCGCTCGGTGACGTGGGGAACCGCCGGGTAGGGACTCCGGGGCCCGGGCGCCCGTCGTATTCCTCCTCCGCGGTTCCTCCTCCTCCTCCTCCTTTTCCTCCTCCTCCTCCTCCTCCTCCTCCTTTTCCTCCTCCTCCTCCTCCTCCTCCTTTTCCTCCTCCTCCTCAGTGGGGCTCTGGAGCTCCAGTCGCGGATCGGCCATGGCTGCCACCGCGCCGCCCTCGTCGGAGAGAGAGGAGCCTCCAGGGCCCGAGGCCTGGTGGGGGGTACGAGAGGGGGCCACGAGGGGATGGCTGCAGCAGGATCGCAGGCGAGGAGGGGAGTACAGTCGGGGCGTTGACCTAAGGAACCCTAAATAAGGAACGAGGCCCCGTTTTCCCACAAGTTAAGCTTCCATGTCCCATCGGAGCCCTAAGCAAAACCAAAGGCGAACTGCAAAAAAACTAAGGAACATCGAGCCCCTCCCCAACGAAAAGGGTTCCTTCTTCAGGGCCCCGACTGTAGAGGAAGAGGGAGGAGGGAGGAGGGACGATCACAGGAGAGGAAGGAGGACGCAGGAAAAGCAGGGAGGAGGACGGGAAATGACGAGGGAAGGATGGGATGAGAGAACCGCAGCGATGAGGACGACAGGCAAGAGGAAGTGGGGCGAGGTAGGTCGAGGAGGGAAAGAAGACGACGAGATCAAAGGAGATGAGGGGGGAGAGCCGAGGAAGCGGGGCAATGAAGCAGGTAGGGGTGAGCGGAAAGAACTGGTAAGACAGGGGATGGCGACGAGTAAGGGGATGAGGAGGTGGAGAATGGCAACCGGCAGAATGAGAACAGGGATGGAGGGGCAGCAGCTGCAACCTCAGCCGCAGCATAGTCCACAGCACGGAGGACGCGACGGGGGCAAAGGACGAGGCATCAGTTGAAGCTGAGGCGACGGCGGCTGCGCAGGCGGAGGACCCGGGAGAAAGATATGCACTGCTGCTCGTGAACACGGCTCTTCACGCGGGGCACTTCTTGGCGGCGTTGGTTGCACGTCCCCTGACGGTGCTGGTAACACCGGCCTCTCTGATGAAACCACTGGCGGTGCGTGGTGCGTGGCACGCCTGTCGCAGGACAGCACGGGTTTCCCACGTGGCCTGTTGGCAGATACCGTTGCACATGAAGGGCCCCCGCCCCCAAGAATTACGTAGGTTTGTTAGATCCCCCGCCTCGACGACATTGTCCGTGTTTCGCCAGTGTGCTGAGCATGTTCTCGGGTGCCTTGCTCGCATTGTCACAACAGCCTCCCATCGGCTTCACTTCCACGCTTGCCGTTAGTGCTACACGACCAAGTCAAAGAGGGGCGAGGATGAGAATGGAAAAACAGAAGCAGGAGGATGTGAGAGAGCTCTCGTCCACATCAGTCGACGTAGAATGATCTCGCGCATCCCACTGAGAGCGCGAGAGTCCGCTCGGTATGCATGGCCGGCGTGCCATTCGAAATGTGCACCCCAAGCACCTGACACCCCCCCTCCTCGTCTATGAACGTACCTGGGGGCGCCTTCCTTCCTGCCACCGGGTACTCCAGATTTCGTGATAAAAGGGAGGGGTCTGGACCCTCCAAGACAAGCCATTTCAGACCTCCCCCGTGGGAGAACCCTCCAAAACATCGTCCCCAGACCCCCCAGGCCCTCCAAGATAGCCTGGAAGAGACCCCCCCCCGAAATGAGACCCCCCATCCCTTTATTACGAAATCTGGAGTGCACCCTGACTGGGCGAGACAGGCGGGTCGGGCGGGCCGGCCCTACCAGGCGGGCCGGCCCTGACAACCCAGACCCCCGACGTCATGATTTTCTCATGACGCGACCCCCAGAGGCCTCAACCCATTCCCCGGGACCGCTTTTTCGTCCTCAGTCGCTTTTTGACAGTCCCGAGGCCCGGTGAGGGCCCCCAGAGGCCGAAAATGGCGAACAAAAACCTCCCGTCGTGATTTTCTCATGACCCGAGGGGGTCTGGGAAGCGGGGCGGGCGGGCAGGCCACGCCAGCGGCCCGGCGGGCTTCCACGCCGGACGGGCGGACCCCCACCCCAGAGGTCCTAAGAACCTCAAAAAGTACCGGACGAGTAGAACCACAGGCAAAACATAGTTCATCCGCAAGAAACGTAGGATCGGAACAAAAACGTAGTCTATCGACAAAAACCTAGTTCATCGGAAACACCATTTTGTGTTACTATAAAATATTTACAAACATAAATATGTGTATATATGTCGATGTATGCAGGTATATGTAAGCATGTATATATGTGCAAGTAGTGTGCGTGTGTATGTGATGATGTATGGTTAAGACGTGGGCCATCCTCTCCCCCTCGTGCCTCTCATCCTCGTGCCATCCTCTCCCCCTCGCGCCGCTCCTCAGGCGGGAGGGCTTCCCGCGGGCCGCGGGATCGGGCGACGAGATCTATAGTATATCCACTGCTCTCTGGTCGGGCACTCCCTCCCGACCCGCCCAGGAGGGCGCGGCGGGCCCAGGGTGGACCTGACCAGGGAGAGGTGGATATATTATAGATTTCGTCGCCCCATGGGGAGCGGCCCCGCATGGCCGACGAATTCGACCTCGAGGCCGAGTGGGAGAATGGCCCCGCCGCCGTCGCCAAGGCGGGGTGGAGGAGGTGGAGGAGGAGGAGGAGGATGAAGAGAAGGAGAAGGAGGAGAAGGAGGAGGAGGAGGAAGAGGAGGACGGGAAGGGGGAAGAGGAGGAGGACGGAGGAGGAGGACAAGGAGGACGGAGGAGGAGGACGAGGAGGAGAAGGAGGGCAAGGAGGACAAGGATCGCACCCCCCAAGCCAACGCCAGGCCCTCCTGCCCCACTTCACCCCCGACGGCGGCTACTTCCCGTACGCGAAAAATATGAAGGCCGCCGGGGTGAACTCCAAGATCCTGGCCGAGGACAGCAGGGAATCCCAGGGAATTGAAACTTATAGGTTTTTTCTTTCGTCGTGTTGTGTTTGGTCCCAAAAGGCCCTGGGGCCAGAGAAATCTCCTTGGGCCCTTGTGCAATGAAGACTGGTGAAGTTAAGGAATATGATGGGGAAAGGTGCGTGTAGGGAGGAGGCGGCGAAGGAGGAGGGGGAGAAGAAAGATGAGGAGGGGGAGGAGGAGGCGGAGGAAAACGCTGCAAGAATGACAGGGGCACGAAAGGGGTGAGGGGAGTACTCAGACATGCTGAACGATCTTATCGGCGTCGTCCGCAGCCGCCGCCTCACACAGAAGGTGATGATTCAGGCCCTGAAGCTCGTGCATGACTTGAAAGGTTATCAATTCTCAGACAAGGTGCGATAGGGGGGGGGATTGCAATCCCCTATCGCCCTCCATCCCCTCCCCCTCCCCCTCCATCCCCTCACCCTCCCCCTCCCCCTCCATTCTCCAAGCATGGGCCCTCCATCCCCTCCCCCTCCCGTCATGCCCTCCGAACGGCGGTGGGAGGTGCGAGAAGGCTGGCAAAAGGTGTATTCTATGAGGCTGCGGACGGCGCTGAAGCATATACGTGAAACAGGACAGCGGCGAGCGCCGTGCCCAGGGGGATGGGAGGGAGAGCGGCGCAGGGCGTGGAGGAGTAGAGGGAAGAGGGATCGAATGAGTGACGGGAGGAGGGCGAGACGATGGGCAGGGAGTGGGAGAGACGTGGGAGGGGCACGGGAAGGGGGGGGGGAGAGAGAGAGAGAGAGAGAGAGAGAGAGAGAGAGAGAGAGAGAGAGAAGAAAAAGAGAGAGAGAGAGAGAGAGAGAAAGAGAGAGAGAGAGAGAGAGAGAGCGAGAGAGAGAGAGAGAGAGGGAGAGAGGGAGGAGAGAGAGGGAGAGAGAGAGAGAGAGAGAGCGAGAGAGAGATAGCGACGAGAGAGGGATAGAGAGAGATATATAGAGAGACAAGGGTGAGAGCGAGTGAGAGCGAGCGAGAGAGAGCGAGAGAGAGAAAGTAAACCGCTTGAAAACGAGAGGGAGCGAAAGAGATAGAGAGAGAGAGAGATAACTATATACCTAGATGGGGAGAGGGATAACGAAAACGAGAGAGCGCGAGTGACAATGGGAGAGGGAGCGAGAAAGAAAGAGAGAGAGAGGCAAAAAGAGAGAGAGAGCGCGAGCGAGAGACA